TTGTTTTTTTTCTCAGTCCCACCTGGTAATAAAACAAAATGAAGCTGCGGACTTTTTGCAAAGCAAAGCTGGTACTTCTGCAATGGAGCAATCTCAACTGATTTAACCCGACTTAAAAGCATTCAGAGCTTTTTTGGCAGCTGCAACACACGACTGGCTCATATTTAGGTGATTGTCCACTAGGATTCCAAGATCCCTCTCACAGTTGCTACTACTGAGCAAGGTACCACCTATACCAGTGGTTCTCAACCTTTCTAATGCCGCGACCCCATAATACAGTTCCCCATGTTGTGGTGACCCCCAACCACTTATACATCACCGGGTGCCAAGGGCGTGGCCAAAGAAAAGGGGAAAAAAAATGGCAGACAGCCTTGTTTGGTAATCCCCGTGAAATGGTCGTTCGACCCCAAATGGGGTCCCGACCCACAGGTTGAGAACCACTGACCTATACTGTCAAACTGCCAGCCCGCGGGCTGGATGCATCATAGCAAAACCGCATCCACCCCATTGCCGGCAATGGCAAAAAAAGTCACGATATGTTGCGATATGTGACGTTGCAAGTTTGACATCCCTGACCTATACTATGCTGGCCACATGGAAAAAGTCTTCAGACAATGCTGGCTCTCTCAACTAGGAAATGGAGATGAAGATCGGTCCCTAGAGTCGGACACGATTGGCAAGAGACAGGAGCTTGTCAGGCAAAATATCTGGAGGGCATCAAATTTTCCGCTCTTGTGTAAAAGCTTTGTCTGTTGAATTTTTAATGTACGGGAAAAAAAAAAAGGCTAACGGGAGGAAATGTAGCAGTGGCTGACCAAACGAGCAGCAAAATCAAATTACAATCAACTGATTGTTCATACGGATAAAACCAGACGCTGCAGCAAGATGTTCCCTCCCCTTTACATGACAGGGAGTATTGATCCGACCCCAGGCTTTCAAAAGCATTGGGCACAGAGAAGGAATCGTATTGATCGGTGGCAGTTAATCAGGATCGTATATTCAGAAAGACTCCGACTGCTGAGTTATCATACACAGCTTTGGAAAGCAAGAGAACAAGGAACTTTTGCTTTTCTGCATGAATGTCCATCTCTGGGGAAAGCCACAGGCCTTGTAGCTGGATAACCATGGAAAGAAGAGATTTGAGTTTAAATAGCCTTTGGACCCACCAAGGCTGTTTTGCATTATTAGACACTGCTGGCTTTTGTACAGTTGACAGTAGTAAGGGAGCTTTGCTTTATTGTAACAGTGAGAGCCATGTTAGTCCATAATGGCAAAAAAATAAAAATAAAAAATAAAATAAATAAATAAATAAAAAAACCCAGGAAGTAATTTTCCTGACTATCCAGTTTTACTAAAAAGGCTTTAGTGAGATGCCACTCACAAAAGCTTATGCCTTAAAAAAAAAAAGTTAGTAAAAAAATAAAAATTGTTATGACTTCTGATTTCTGGGGATGATGAGAACAGATGTTAAACTTGTTAAGTAAATTGGAGACACTTTTTAAAAAGAGGTCCTTTATGGTATGATGATGATGATGATAATAATAATAATAATATCCTGCGACGATATCTGTAATACCATCAAACATCCACATCTGCCTATCCCAGGTCCTGGGTAAGGACTTGATAGGTAGACAAAATGCTAAATCCAGTCTGAACATCTGGCTGACTGTGTGATGATCCATAATAATAATAATGATAAAGTTGGAAGGGACTTTGGAGGTCATCTAGTCCAACCCCCTGCTCAGGCAGGAAACCCTATACCATTTCGGACAAATGGCTGTCCAGTTTCTTCTTAAAAACTAAGCAGGGGGTTGGACTAGATGACCTCCAAAGTCCCTTATTATTAGTTCTAGGTTGCTTCTCTCCTTGATCAGTTTCCATCCGTTGCTTCTTGTCCTGCCTTCCGGCGCTTTGGAGAATAGCTTGACTCCCTCTTCTTTGGGGCAGCCCCTGAGATATTGGAACACTGCTATCATGTCCCCCCTCATCCTTCTCTTCATTAAACTAAACCAGGGGTAGGCAACCTTGGCTCTTTTATGACTCATGCTGACTCAGGAATTCTGGCAGTTGAAGTCCAAGAGTCATAAAAGAGCCGAGGTTGCCTACCCCTGAACTAAACATACCCAATTCCAGCAACCGTTCCTTATATGTTTTAGCCTCCAGTCCCCTAATCATCTTTGTTGCTCTTCTCTGTACTCTTTCTAGAGTTTCAACATCTTTTTTACATCGTGGTGACCTAAACTGGATGCAGGATAATTATCCTATTGCCCTTTGCATTCACACTAGGTTGATAGAAACTGTGTTGATGGAAAATAGCCAAGGAGAGAAACAACCTAGAACTAAGACATTTCCTAACAGTGACAGCAATAATCAATGGGACATCTTTTGCTTTCATAAGTTGTCAATACTCTTATCACTGGAAGCTTTCCCAAACAGAATTTGTCTGAAATGCTATAGGGTCTTCCGTTCAAGCAGGGGGTTGGACTAGAACAGTGGTGGCGAACCTATGGCACGGGTGCCAGAGGCGGCACTCAGAGCTCTCTGTGGGCACGCACACCGTCGCCCCAGTCCTAGGCCTTCAGCTGGGTTTTATAAAACTTTTTCGCTTTAGGCCTCCGCCGTCATGTACAAAAAAAAAAAAGAAAAGGTTCAATCAATCAGTCAATTTCAACTTCTTGCGGGGGGGGGGAAAAAAAAAGATCTTGCAAAGTTGGAATTGATTGATTGAACTTTTTAGTCCTACCCAGTCTGCTATTACCACCACAGCCACACCCATCCAATAGGCCACACCCACCCAATGGGCCACACCCACCCGGCACCCGACGATGCATAACTGGGTTTTGGGTTGCAGTTTGGGCACTCGGTCTCTAAAAGGTTCGCCATCACTGGACTAGAAGACCTCCAAGGTCACTTCTAACTCTGTTGTTCTATGTTGATAAAGCCAGAATACTCTTTATTTTAAACCTTTTTTTCACTTTAATAATAGCCACCCAGAACCGTCCTTATGAAAACCAGCCTGCTGATCCTATGAGTTATCTAGCTTTCATTCAAACAAAGATCTACATTCGTGTTTGTGGGTGTGGGTGGGTGGGTGGATGCTGGTAGCAAACCACTTTTGTCCAGACCATGGAAAGGAAATGAACATTAAATAAAGAGCCACCCCTGGTTACAAACATGTTCCTGTTTACTTCTCTCCAGCAGCTGGCATGATCTCAGCACTGTTCTTATTTAAAGTTCAACTCAAATGCACACAAAGTAAAATATAGCAGCTGGATTCAGACAAGACATTAAGCCTTAAAGTCCAATTCATAAAGCTCTGTTTCTAGTTCACTTCATAGCTTTGTCCTCACCAAGCATTCTGGTAGCTTCAGGCAAGGATCTGAGTTGCAGAAAACGTCAAGATATTTCCTGAAATACCTCGAACTACAAAACACCAGCTGAGTGAGCGTGCCAAGTGAGGCCAAGTATTTGGTTGGGCTATCAATTCAAGCATCTCTCCATCAGAAGCTCTCTTCTATCCCTAGATCCCACTCATTAAATTGAACAATCTTTCAGCCAGGATCACCTGCATAGTTCTCCAAAGAGGTCTAATATGGGAATTCATTCATTCATTCATTCTACTTCTACAGCTGCCCATTGCAACTAATGCATTATCTAAGCCAGAGGTCTTCAAACTTGGCAACTTTTAAGACTTGTGGACTTGCAACTCCCAGAATTCCTGGCTGGCTAAGGATTTCTGGGAGTTGAAGTCCACAACTCTCAAAGTTGCCAAGTTTGAAAACCCCTGCTCTATCTAATCCATCTTCTTGACCCAAATTCAGACCTGCAGGTCAAATCATTTCCCTAATTTGAAATCTCCAATTGATAATCCAAGCTTGTGGATGGGAACAATCCAGTTTTAAAAGCAACCGGACATCCTTGCTTTAGATGGGGTCTTTTGAATTTTTCGACCCAGACCTCATTTTACAACAAATAAAATAGAATAGAATATCTTTATTGTCAATGTGTAACTCACAACAAAATTAAGTAAAAATCCACTGAGGAGGCTGTTCCCTATTGCTGCATGTTTATGCTAAGGAAAACTTTCCTGGCTGGATTTCTCATTGGCAGAAATAAATCTCTTTGGCCACGAATCTAGATTAAATAGATAGTGCAATCTCTGCTGTTGGCTGGGGCTAATCTGTTAAAAAGCCTTGCTTTTCTTTTGGAAGATTCTAATCCTCATGTCTAAATATCTTTAGCCCTCTGAGACCGGAATGGGACAACTCACTGCAGCTAACTTGCCGCAAAACAGCTTGATACAGGACAATTCAACAATTTAATTTAATTATCTAAACATGATTCAAAAAAATACTTTAACTTTTGTCATTCCCATTTCACTCTGTCCCTCCTTTTGCAGCCTTTCTTTAATGATTCTATTCCACCATGTTTTTTGAAATTAGTGTCCAGCAGCGGGCTGGACTAGAAGACCTCCAAGGTCCCTTCCAGCTCTATTCTATTCTATTCTATTCTATTCTATTCTATTCTATTCTATTCTATTCTATTCTATTCTATTCTATTCTATTCTATTCTATTCTATTCTAATCCCTATTCTAATGTTTATTCCATTTCTATTCTATTCTATTCTATTCTATTCTATTCTATTCTATTCTATTCTATTCTATTCTATTCTATTCCCATTCCTATTCCCATTCCATTCTATTTCTATTCTAGTCCTGCTGCAAGTTGGCTATGGAGAGTTATCCTAGATCCCTCTGAGACTGCTTAAAATACACACAGAATTTGGGAACATAGCACACTGCAATCAAGAATGGTCTGTTGAGAACCACTTCCTATTCTTCAGAATAAATTCTCCCAGATTCTCCCCACATCGTGACCTATCACGTTTCTTCTCTTCCCGTCAGCCTAAATTATAAATAAAATAAGATTTATAAAACCTTTGGTAGAACTCAAATCCTGCAGCTGGGAACAACGGAGAGATGCTTCGACACCCATGTACGTTTAAGCTTTTGACACATTGAGCTCAATTTGTTTTATTCCTGACCGGTAGTTTAAAAATACAGCATAAAAGAAACCCCAAACCAAACAGGATGACGGGATTCGGGATACACAATCGTAGTTTAAGGATGCCGTCTGAGAAAGACGAAGTTTCCTGGCCTGCTTTAATCCTTAATCAAAGCTGGATCAGCAGAATTCAACAGGCACATGTTTTCATGGAGAGAAGTAGAAGCACCTTTTCCTGTACATAAACAAGTTGCTGTTAAAAGAAAAAACTGCCGAGTCTAGAAAAGTCTAGAAAAAGGTCATTCTCACTCCAGAAGCCATCCAGCCTCGGGACGAATGTCCTTGAACATAATTTAAAGAAATCATGATTTAAACCTGTGCTACAAAAATGTATGGAGACTTTAATTTGCGGCATCCAGGACAATCTACTTAAAAATATAGCTTATTTGAAATTGGCCAGTTTTACTTTTGAAGAAGACCACGTGACCGTATGACCTCCAAACCAGGAAGCAGACTAGCGACTGGTGAAGACACTCTTGGAAGGAGGGGGAAGTTTACGTCTGCAACTGCAATTTTATTTTTCTCTTTTGTAAAAAGAAGTGGCTCTATGTTCTAGACCAGCCTACCTCAATCTGGTACGCCTTCCAGAATGTTAAGAGGAAAGGGCCTAACACTCCAGCCCCAACAGTGTGTTGCAAAACAACTCTTCAGTAGGAGTCCACGGTGTGGAAAGACTGATCAATGCATGATGGAAAAAGCATGCAAAGTAGCAACCTGATCCTAGGTTGTTCTTTTGTGTCCAGGTGAGAGAGGACGTTAGCTGTATGTCTATGAGGTAATAATAATCCATCCATCTCTGTTTTCACCATGCTGCTACCTCTTCAAGGGCCTCCCCAGTTTTGCTTCTGTGGCTGGCTGTCCAAACAGCTGGTTGGCTTCATCTATCTAGGTTGAGTTCCACATTCTAGAACACTGAAGTCCTCCTCCAGATGTTCTGGAATCCTCGTCTCTATAGACTGTGGATGAATTCTCCTTGTTAATTTGGACTTTTCTTGATCATTCGGATCCTGTATACATGTCAACAGCGCTCGGATCGATTTAATGGGTGTTCAGTCCGTCATTTTTCTCTCTCGCAAAACGGACCTCCTAGAATTTGGATGGAACAGACTCTGCTGGTGAACTGAATGACCTCAGATCTGTGCCTTGCTGTTCTCACGCTGATGGGACCACTGCCTTTTTAAAAACTCTCAACACTTTAAAATATATATTTAAAGGTACAGCAACTGTAAAAAATAGAAGCAAAAATCTTTCACTTTTTTTTCCCCTCCCAAGTGTTCTTGAAAATAAGACAAAAACGGTTCTTTTTCCTTTCCTTCTTCTGCCCAAAAATTTCAAAAGCCACCCATATACAAGGTGGGATGAGCAGTTTTTAAATTTTGCGTCCCTTATTTTCACAGAACAAGTGGAGTTCTGAGAGTTCAGTCTGTGAGGGAATGTAACAAACAAGTTCCCTCCCTTTATGTTATGAGCGTTTTAGAAAGGCACATGTCAATGATAGGTGTGTGTGTGTGTTTGTGTGTGTGTTAAACCAAAGATTTGGGCTGCAAAACTCCCAAGGTTGCAGAAATTTAAAATAACCTTTGATGCCATCTAGGGGTTGTCTAAATTTATGGAGCCCAGATCATGTGCTGTATTTGTGCGTGTCCTTGTATTTGTTTGTGTGCAATATTAATTCATTTCTCTGCTTCGCAAGAGAATTGAGAACCATGCAGAGCATTTTAAAAAAAAGTAAAATAAAAGTATTAACCTGCCCCTGCATTATCTTCTTTTATAACCACGGAGCCCTGCTACTTTACTCCTGGCTTGTAGCCACACTAAATGGCAACCGCATATATTACCTGGAAACAGGACATTTCATTTCGACAGTCAAAAAAAAAAGCACTAACCGACACGGCACAGCAATTGTTTTGCTCGCAGGAGACAAAGATCTTGTTCACCCTACCCAACAAAGAATTGGTGAGGGTTGTTGGCCTTGCCAAGATCCTTCAGAGGAAAAAAAAAAAAACATGATTGGAAAAAGCTCTTTTGAGGTAATTTGAAAACAAGAGGGTGTTTGCAAATTCCCTGATCTCTTCTGCTCCCCCTCTCTTTTTTCCCTTTTTCTTTGTAGAGCTGAAGATCCAGTAATTCTGAAGACGGAAAAGGAATTAAAACATGGGTTACAATTGGAGAGTCTGGAGCAGACATTCCTTTCCAAACGGGGCGTTTTCCGATGCTGTCAAACTTCAAAGTTGTATTTGGGCGGGGGGGGGGGGGCGGGCTTTCAAAGCTGCCTGCTAATTGCAGCCTGCAGTTCTCTGAAGCATTTCTCGGCTGAGACTTGACAGACCGCCCACTCCAAGACTCCATTTATTTTAAAACATCTGCCTTCCTTCTTTGCCAGAGATCACCGCTTGTCCGACCACCGGGGTCATCTGCCTTTGAAGAACCGTATTTTGGCCACCGAGGCAAGGGTTTGTGTCACGTTTGCCTCAAAGTCTCCATCATGGACGCCGGTCTGCCGAAAGGCTCCCGCAGAAGGATTATTCTCCCAGTAGTGGTGCCAATTGCCTCTGTGGTCTGCCCCAAAGCCGTAGAGATCCAGCTACGGAGAAAGAGTGGATAGGAAAAGAAAAAAAAAGAAAAAAGAATTGGTTCTTAAATGGATTTCATTTTCCTTATGTTTAATATTTCTAGCAATCGTAGAACCTAGAATAACAGAATTGGAAGGGACCTTGGCGGCCATGTAGTCCACCCCAGCCCCTGCTAAGGCAGGAGACCCTATACCAGGGGTCTTCAAAGTTGGCCCTTTTATGACTTGTGGACTTCAACTCCCAGAATTCCTCAGCCAGGCATGCTGGCTGAGGAATTCTGGGAGTTGAAGTCCACAAGTCATAAAAGGGCCAACTTTGAAGGCCCCTGCCCTATACCATTTCAGACAAATGGTTATCCAGCCTCTTTTTGAAAATCTCCAGTGATGGAGCAGCCTCAACTTCTGAAGGCAAGCTATTTCATTGGTTGGCTGCTCTAACCACTAGGAGTTTTCTCCTTAATTCCAGGTTGCTTCTCTGCTTGGTTAGTTTCCATCCTTTATTTCTTGTCTCGCCTTTTGGTGCTTTGGAAAATAGTTTGACCTCCTCTTTTTTGCAGGAACCCTTCAAATATTGGAAGACTGCTATCATGTCTCCCCTAGTCCTTCTTTTCATTAGACTAGATTAGGGTGGGGAACCTTGGCTCTTTTATGACTTGTGGACTTCAACTCCCAAAATTCCTGAGCTGGCCATGCTGGCTCAGAGATTCTGGGAGTTGAAGTCCACAAGTCATAAAAGAGCCAAGGTTCCCCACCCCTGGACTAGACATACCCAACTCCTGCAACCTGCATTGACTTGATGACACAATCATTGTTCAAGTTGACCCTTGAACAACATTAAAAAAACACTTTTAAAAAAAGATTTTCCACACATCCTGATCCATTACTGTAATCCTTTAGCCTCCAGCCCCTAATCATTCTTGTTGCTCTTCTCTACACTCTTTCCAGAGTCTCAACATCTTTTTTTGTATTGTGGTAACCAGAACTAAATGCAGTATTCCAAGTCTGATCTTACTAAGGCTTTGTAGAGCGGTATTAGAAGTTCACGTGATCTTGATTCTATCTCTCTTATTAATACCTTCACAGGTATTGCTGAAGTAACCATGACAACCTCAAGACAATGTTAACCCCCCTCCTTTGCAACGGAAGATATTGTTTTCCAAAATTACGTAGGCTCCCTGGGAGAAGAAAACACGATTTAGTAGGATGTTAGCCACCTATAATCCTCAATTGTCGAAGTACAATTCTCACTGTTTAAAAAAGATGATGGTGCCGAGAGCTGAAATTCAGCAATGGCCTGATACGAATTTACGGAAAATAAGGAATAGTTTCATTAGGATTACAGTAATGGGAACAGGATGTGTGGAAAAACATTTTTTTAAAAAGTATTCTGGGTATTTAAGGGTTAACTTGAACAATGGTTGGGTCATCAAATCAATGCAAGTCACCATGCAAACCAGGATTTCTCACTTTTTATGAAAGTAGCCTAGCTTTACTATGTCACCTACCTCATCACAGAGGTGCAGGGCAAAGATAATTGATAGGAATCCGGTTGAGGGATACCTCCCATGATGTTGGAGCCAGTTGTCGTACACATATTTTATAAAACTAGGATGATAAACCATGATCTGCACAGAATGAAAGAATATACCCTATTACTTTAATTTCAGAGATAATTCAGCATGGAAAAAAAACCCCCAGCAAATTCTAGGAATGTACAAAATGTGATCTCTTCCCCAATTGGCAAGCTTGGTACATCCTCAGCAAACAACAGTTGAACACTGGAGAAATGCTTTTTTGCTTGTAGAACCTTGAATAAAATATGCGGTTGCAGGGAATTAAATGCAATGCTTTTTGAAACAAGCAGGGCCCAGATTTGAAAAACAGTATTTATTTAACATATCCTGTCATCAAGGGCTAGAAGTGGGTTGTACAGGATGTTGAAAAAGAGAAAGGAGATGAAAGGGAAAAAAAAATACACTGTAGTATACAAAGTCTTGCTTGGGTAGCTTTTCCTATCTCAGATTTTAGCATGTCAAGAAAGCAGAATTTCTAAGAAACCAATAATTTGCAAGCATAGAGAATCCCAGTCACAGTTTTGGCAGGTGATGCTACCAGTGGCCAAAATCCAAGCTGTCCATCAGAATAATCAACTAGGAATAATAATAATAATAATAATAATGATGATGATGATGATGATGATGTCGATAGGAAAGACAAACAAGTCTGGATAGTGGATGTGGCAGGGCCTGGAGACAGCAGAATAGAAGAGAAAGAAGTGGAGAAGATAACAAAATACAAAGACCTACAAATAGAAATAGAAAGACTGTGGCAAAAGCAAGCAAGGGTAGTACCAATAGTGATAGG